AGCTGGTAGACAGTAGTAGCTGGTAGACCGTAGTAGCTGGTAGACAGTAGTAACTGGTAGACAGTAGTAGCTGGTAGACCGTAGCAGCTGGTAGACAGTAGTAGCTGGTAGACCGTAGTAGCTGGTAGACAGCAGTAGCTGGTAGCTGCTGGTAGACAGTAGTAGCTGGTAGACAGTAGTAGCTGGTAGACAGTAGTAGCTGGTAGACCGTAGTAGCTGGTAGACAGTAGTAGCTGGTAGACAGTAGTAGCTGATAGACAGTAGTAGCTGGTAGACCGTAGTAGCTTGTAGACAGTAGTAGCTGGTAGACAGTAGTAGCTGGTAGACAGTAGTAGCTGGTAGACACGTAGTAGCTGGTAGACCGTAGTAGCTGGTAGACAGTAGTAGCTGGTAGACAGTAGTAGCTGGTAGACAGTAGTAGCTGGGAGATCGTAGTAGCTGGTAGACCGTAGTAGCTGGTAGACAGTAGTAGCTGGTAGACAGTAGTAGCTGGTAGACCGTAGTAGCTGGTAGATCGTAGTAGCTGGTACAGTAGTAGCTGGTAGACAGTAGTAGCTGGTAGACAGTAATAGCTAGTAGACAGTAGTAGCTGGTAGACCGTAGTAGCTGGTAGACAGTAGTAGCTGGTAGACAGTAGTAGCTGGTAGACCGTAGTAGCTGGTAGACAGTAGTAGCTGGTAGACCGTAGTAACTGGTAGACAGTAGTAACTGGTAGACAGTAGTAGCTGGTAGACAGTAGTAGCTGGTAGACAGCAATAGCTGGTAGCTGCTGGTAGACAGTAGTAGCTGGTAGACCGTACTAGCTGGTAGACAGCAGTAGCTTGTAGCTGCTGGCAGACACCAGTAGCTGGTAGCTGCTGGTAGGTGAGCTAGGTAGCCACCTAGGCAGCTACCTAGCTCATTTAGGTGGCTACCTAGCTCACCTAGGCGACCATCTAACTCACCTAGGCAGTCACCTAGCTTACCTAAGCGGCTATCTAACTCATCTCTAGTGTTGAACAACTTTCCTACTTGTCTGTAAAGAGATATTAATGTTATGGGAATGTTGTTTGATCATGTGCATGTTGTTGAGTGCCTGTTGCTAGCCCAAACAGCCTGAGTTACCAGCTTCATTAACCTGAAGGTCTGGCCTGCAGTGTGAATGTAAATGGTTTTAATTTGGTGTGTGTGTGTGTGTGTGTGTGTGTGTGTGTGTGTGTGTGTGTGTGTGTGTGTGTGTGTGTGTGTGTGTGTGTGTGTGTGTGTGTGTATGTCTGTGTACTCACCTATTTGTGGTTGCAGGGGTCGATTCACAACGCCTGGCCTCACCTCTTCCCTCGTCGCTACTAGGTTCATTCTCTCTGCCTGCTTCATGGGCTTACTCATACCTGTTCTTAAAGCTGTGTATGGACCTGCCTTCACTTCATGACTCTCCAGACTGTTCCACTTCTTGACAACTTTATGACTGAAGAAATACTTCCTAACATCCCTGTCCCTCCTTTGAGTTTTCAACTTCCAGTTGTGACTCCTTGTTGCTGTGTGTGTGTGTGTGTGTGTGTGTGTGTGTGTGTGTGTGTGTGTGTGTGTGTGTGTGTACTGTTTTACAAAGATCATTATATTCATAGGGGAAACATTAAAACAGTATGGGTCATACAGACCTTGGTGGTAATGGGAGGTAATAGGGTTTGATCAGAGGAAAGGAGGGTAGCTCCGTTTCTTAGAATCAAGAGCCCTTCACCAGCATCAAGACCTGGGAAAGTGTGTCATCTCTCACTGTGAAACACCAGACCATTTCTCTTCTACTCGCCAATTTGTAATGAAAAAAATTAATTTTTCGATAAAGACTTCACCCAAAAAATTTAAATATTGGATAAAACATGATTGTTTTGCATTCTCCATGATATACATGTCCCTTACGGGTTATGCACTTCTCCTTTAATAATAATAATAATAATAATAATAATAATAATAATAATAATATTAATAATTGTAATAATAATAATTGTAATAATATAATAATAATAATGATAACAATAATAATAATAATAATAATAATAATTGTAATAATAATAATTGTAATAATAATAATTGTAATAATAATAATAATAATAATAATTGTAATAATAATAATTGTAATAATAATTTAATAATAATAATAATATATATAATAATTTAATAATAATAATAATTTAATAATAAATAATAATAATAATAATAATAATAATAAAGTGAGTGTGTTGTGTTCATGGGCAGCTTCTTCACGTCGCACACACCTGAGTCTGCAGGTGGTGGAACCTCCGGGTCAGCCGGTACTAAGGGTGGCAGGCCAGAAGATCAGCGAGGGTGTGCTGGGACCCCTGCAGGAGGGCGCTAACCTGGCCATCACCTGCAGCGTTGCTGGCGGCGTCCCTCCTCCAACACTACTCTGGAAGACTAACAATCAGGTAGGACCCACGTAAACACATTGTTTATGATTACACTCTGGGAACGACATACACTGTTTCTAATTACACTCTGGGAACGACATACACTGATTGTTTATGATTACACTCTGGGAACGACATACACTGATTGTTTCTAATTACACTCTGGGAACGACATACACTGATTGTTTATGATTACACTCTGGGAACGACATACACTGTTTCTAATTACACTCTGGGAACGACATACACTGTTTCTAATTACACTCTGGGAACGACATACACTGTTTCTAATTACACTCTGGGAACGACATACACTGTTTCTAAGTACACTCTGGGAACGACATACACTGTTTCTAATTACACTCTGGGAACGACATACACTGTTTCTAAGTTACACTCTGGGAACGACATACACTGTTTCTAATTACACTCTGGGAACGACATACACTGTTTCTAAGTACACTCTGGGAACGACATACACTGTTTCTAATTACACTCTGGGAACGACATACACTGTTTCTAATTACACTCTGGGAACGACATACACTGTTTCTAATTACACTCTGGGAACGACATACACTGATTGTTTATGATTACACTCTGGGAACGACATACACTGATTGTTTATGATTACACTCTGGGAACGACATATTATTGTTTCTGATTACACTCTGGGAACGACATATTATTGTTTCTGATTACACTCTAGGAACGACATATTATTTTTTCTGATTACAGTCTTGGAACGACATATTATTGTTTCTGATTACAGTCTTGGAACGACATATTATTTTTTCTGATTACAGTCTTGGAACGACATATTATTGTTTCTGATTACAATCTGGGAACGACATATTATTTTTTCTGATTACAGTCTTGGAACGACATATTATTGTTTCTGATTACAATCTGGGAACGACATATTATTTTTTCTGATTACAGTCTTGGAACGACATATTATTGTTTCTGATTACACTCTTGGAACGACAGATATTTATACGTTCTCTTGTCCTGATCTCAGGCTTGGGAAGGCCTAGGGGTGTTGAGCAAATTATATTTTCAAGTGAAAAGACCATTCAAAAATAATGACCATAGTACATGCTAAAGAGGGAGGAAAGGTAATTAAGTGAGGGACAGAAAAAATGAATAAAGGTTTGAGAGAAAGGGGAAGAGGAGGAAAACAAAATCATAGCGGCAATTCCATTTTGATATCTAAGTGTGAATTCATGTGTATAAAACCAAGGAGACTGATAGTTGAGAGACAAGGCGAAGCGTCCACAGTGTACTACCATACTGTTGATATACCTTACATGTACTCTAGTATATTAAGACTGGTCGTATGTCTTTGCCTTAGTCTTGAGGGACTGACCACCTTCTGTCAAGGGTGAGGGACTGATCACCTTAAAACTACCCAGTACTTGCACAGTACAACTAGTACTTTACACTACCGTGCACCTGTAGGGACTACAGGGAACTTTAAGGAAAGTCTTTGGTTACTAACAATTTAATATGACGACAGGAGTATTACGTTACTACTACTGCTAGACAAACACTGAAGTCTGGCAGGTGGAAGAACGAAGTAACATAAATCTATGGATAATTTTTGCCAAATTTTGTTACTTCAGGACCCACAGTCTTGGTAATATCCTCTCAGTGGAGATGCCTTGATGCCAGGAGATCCTCTTGATGCCAGGAGATGCTCTTGATGCCAGGGAGGCGCCTCTTAATATCAAGGAGATCCTCTTGATGCCAGGAGATGCTCTTGATGCCAGGGAGGTGCCTCTTAATATCAGAGAGATTTTCTTGATGCCAGGAGATGCTCTTGATATCAGGGAGGTGCCCTTGATGAAAGGGAGGGGGCCGTGATGCCAGGGAGATCCCCCTGATGCAAGTAATCGAATTCTCTTCCCATAATGAATAGACGGAGACTCGAAACGTGGTTTGATTCTTTTTATACTCAGCCTTGAATCTTCTCATAAATTTCAGGTCAGTTATGTAGACATGTGGCTAAAATATCTGTCTATAATTTGTGACAGGAAGGCTGCAGATGAGCTGAGGGATTTTAGACAGGCTTAGAGAGATTAGACTTATCTTGGAGACTTTTAAGAGACTTTAGCTGAAATTCAAGGATTATGGTTAAGTTTTCAACTTTCCTATGCTGGAAGAATTTAATTTTTTTTTCTTAGTTCTCAGCATGATATACCACAGTAAGGGTATACCACAGTGGGGGTATACCACAATGGGGGTATACCACAATGGGGGTATACCACAGGAGTATACAATAGTGGAGGTATACAACAGTGGGAGTATACCTCAATGAGAATATACCAGAGGTAGGATATCAATCGGTTATACCACAGTGGGAGTATACAACAGAGGAAGTAAACCTCAGTTGTAGTATACCAGAGGGAGCATACCACAGTGAGTGTATACAGCAGTGGAGATATAGAGTAGTGGGAGTATACAACAGTGGAGGCAAACAGCAATGAAGGTATACTACAGTGGAAGTATACCTCAGTAGGAATAAACCATAGGGAATGTACCAGAGGAGCATACCACAGGGGTATGCCACACTGATATACCACAGTGGGAGAATACAACAGTGGGAGTATGACTCAGTAAGAGTATACCATAGGGAGCATACCACGCTGGGGTGTACCACAGTGGGAGTATACAAGAGTGGAATTATATTTATATGTATTATACACCTTCGGAAAATTATTTTTTAATTACCTTTTGAGGTTATAAGTCAGGTTACTAGGATTTGCTGTACTTAGTTGAGGCGCTAAACCCATGTGAGTTATTCACAGCATGGAGTAGTGGAGGCTCGATCCTCCGAACGTTGATGACTGTGCTGTCTGCGAGCTGTCAGCCTGCTGGTGATACTTTAAATGACACATGAGGGAGAGTTAGTGCAACACTTGAGGAAGAGTTAGTGCAACACATGAGGGAGAGTTAGTGCAACACATGAGGGAGAGTTAGTGCAACACATGAGGGAGAGTTAGTGCAGCACAGGGAGAGTTACTGCAGCACATGAGGGAGAGTTAGTGCAACACATGAGGGAGAGTTAGTGCAGCACATGAGGGAGAGTTAGTGCAGCACATGAGGGAGAGTTAGTGCAGCACATGAGGGAGAGTTAGTGCAACACATGAGGGAGAGTTAGTGCAACACATGAGGGAGAGTTAGTGCAACACATGAGGGAGAGTTAGTGCAGCACATGAGGGAGAGTTAGTGCAGCACATGAGGGAGAGTTAGTGCAAGCACATGAGGGAGAGTTAGTGCAACACATGAGGGAGAGTTAGTGCAGCACATGAGGGAGAGTTAGTGCAGCACATGAGGGAGAGTTAGTGCAGCACATGAGGGAGAGTTAGTGCAACACATGAGGGAGAGTTAGTGTAGCACAGAGAGAGTTAGTGCAACACATGAGGGAGAGTTAGTGCAACACATGAGGGAAAGTTAATGCAACACATGAGGAAGAGTTAGTGCAACACATGTGGGAGAGTTAGTGCAACACATGAGAAAGAGTTAGTGCAGCACATGAGGGAAAGTTAATGCAACACATGAGGAAGAGTTAGTGCAACACATGTGGGAGAGTTAGTGCAACACATGAGAAAGAGTTAGTGCAGCACATGAGGGAGAGTTAGTGCAGCACATGAGGGAGAGTTAGTGCAACACATGAGGGAGAGTTAGTGCAGCACATGAGGGAGAGTTAGTGCAGCACATGAGGAGAGTAGTGCACAATGAGGAGTTATGCAACACATGAGGGAAGAGTTAGTGCAAGCACATGAGGGAAGTTAGTGCAGCACATGAGGAAGAGTTATGCAACACATGAGGGAGAGTTAGTGCAACACATGAGGGAGAGTTAGTGCACACATGATGGGAGAGTTAGTGCAGCACATGAGGGAGAGTTAGTGCAACACATGAGGGAGAGTTAGTGCAACACATGAGGGAGAGTTAGTGCAACACATGTGGGAGAGTTAGTGCAACACATGAGGGAGAGTTAGTGCAACACATGAGGGAGAGTTAGTGCAACACATGAGGGAGAGTTAGTGCAACACATGTGGGAGAGTTACTGCAACACATGAGGGAGAGTTAGTGCAACACATGAGGGAGAGTTATGCAACACATGAGGAGAGAGTTAGTGCAACACATGGGGAGAGTTATGAGACTGGAGTATGAACACATGAGGGAAGTTAGTGCAACACATGAGGGAGAGTTACTGCAACACATAGAGGAGAGTTATGCAACACATGAGGGAGAGTTAGTGCAACACATGAGGAAGAGTTAGTGCAACACATGAGGGAGAGTTAGTGCAACACATGAGGGAAAGTTATGCAACACATGAGGGAGAGTTAGTGCAACACATGAGGAGAGTTAGTGCAACACATGTAGGGAGAGTTAGTGCAACACATGAGGGAGAGTTATGCACACATGAGGGAGAGTTGTGTAACAGTGGAGATATGCACCATGAGGAGAGTTAGTGCAACACATGAGGGAGAGTTAGTGCAGACACATGGGAGAGTTATGCAGACACATGAGGGAGAGTTATAGTGCACACATGAGGGAGAGTTAGTGCAACACATGAGGGAGAGTTAGTGCAACACATGAGGGAGAGTTAGTGAGCACATGAGGGAGAGTTAGTGCAAGCACATGAGGGAGAGTTAGTGCAACACATGAGGGAGAGTTAGTGCAGCACATGAGGGAGAGTTACTGCAGCACATGAGGGAGAGTTAGTGAAACACATGAGGGAGAGTTAGTGCAACACATGAGGGAGAGTTATGCAACACATGAGGGAGAGTTAGTGCAACACATGAGGGAGATTAGTGCACACATGAGGGAGAGTTAGTGCAACACATGAGGGAGAGTTACTGCAGCACATGAGGGAGAGTTACTGCAGCACATGAGGGAGAGTTAGTGCAACACATGAGGGAGACTTAGTGCAACACATGAGGGAGAGTTACTGCAACACATGAGGGAGAGTTAGTGCAGCACATGAGGGAGAGTTAGTGCAACACATG